AAAAAAAAAAAAAAAAAGAATTGCTATCTGAATATTTAGGGTACTTTTCTTTAAATAATTCTCCAGTAAGACCCTTAAAAATCAAGAGTAAAATATTAGTAGAAATTCTGCTTTATATAAAAAAATTCTATGTGAAATCTCCCAGTGTTCCTGAATGTTTACATTCAAAATTGCTATCACGTAACGGGACAAGTAATTTGCCAGATAATGTTATGTGCAAATATTCATAAATAAGAATATTTGTATATCCAAATTATATTTTAAGCACCCACACTTTAATCAGAAGCAGACACTAAGGTGATAATGAATGTACCCAACATTGCATGAATACAGGACTTCCATAGAATGTAAATTTATCAATTAAATACCTTTATAGCAAATGCAGATGCTCAATACTTAACCTCTGCATGGATGTTTACTTTAGAAATTAACATAGGGAATTTATTTTTTTTGGTACAGGGGATTGAATACAGGGAAATATCTTAATTTCCATATGATTTGAGCAATTGTATTTTATGATCTTTGTCTTCTCACAAACGATTATTTTATTTATCATTCATTAGATTTCAACATGTTTAAATTTGTTCCTTTCCCAGATAGATTAAAGAACTGGTAGCTGTTGTAACTCTAAACCAGTGCTTCTTTCTGGATCTGAAGGTGTTTTGTAATTTTTGTATCATATGAGCTGAAACTAAATTCCAAAATTTCTATGTCTTCTACTGATGAGAGGAAGACTATTAGATTTTATACATACATGCTGTGATGGACTATGTGATGTACTACCTAGGTAGAAATTGCTTTCTTAGCTACTGGGAATGTTGCCAAAAAAGTTCACTAGCTGCCAAGCCCTCTTTGGAGTGGGTGCTATACCCCTCGCCTGAGACAGCCCACATCCAAGAGCAGATTAAACAAAATATGGAAACCTATAGTTTTTAAAGGGCTTTCTAGATCTCAGGCCATTGGAAGGTCCCTGATGCTGCTAGTTTTATTGGAATGGGTTAGAGCTCAGCTTCTCTGCTATTGCTACAGGCGTTGATAACAAATCTCTCCTAAAAAACACTCTACCTTAGAGTGTTCTATCCCCAGAATACAAGTTTGAATGTGCCCATAGACTCAAAAGTCAATTGTCATGATGGCATTGCATTTGACAATAAGTTCTAGAACTTGTCACTTCATTGGAATATATTTGGCCAATTAATTGATGTAAATATTAATGATGATAAAGCATTTTCTTTTGCTAATATTTTTTGATTCTCTGAAACAATAAGCTTCTAAAACAGCTAAGTAGTAATTTAAAAAGAACAATATGGCAAGTAATTCAACACATTATAAAAATAAATTCATAAAAATCACATTTCTCTCTTGTGAAAATCTTTGCATTATTTTGACCTGCTGATTTAGCAGCCTGTGGTGTGATTTTAAACAAAGGAAAAGATGAAACAGACACTTGGTAATCATGCTGGAACTTCTAAAACAGCTGTTGCTATGGGAGGGATTGTTCCAGTATTTCTTTTGAATTTTACATGAAGACATTTACTCCCTTTTCCACTTCTGCAAAATTGCTGAAGTGATTTAGTTCTGATGCACACAATCCCCTTCCCTGTTTGAATGCACATCATTGCTCTTTTGCATCCATTTGCAGGCATTGCCTTTTCAACAAAGCAAGGAAAAGCCTATGAACTGTAATTGCTCAGCGAAAGTGTGTTTTTATTATTAGCGTGATCTCTCAAGTTGTAAAGAATAGAGACTGTGCTTAGGGAGTTAATAAAACAATATCTCTTATTCAAGCCAGTTTTTCCAGGTGCAGTATCTGCCCCTTTCAAAGAAAATCTATAGTTTCTGAGTAGAATAACCCCTCTGCAAGTATCAGTGGTCAAAACCAGAGAGGTGGGGCTCATCCAAGAGAAACATGATTAAAAATTCAGCAAGGATGACACATTTGGACTTGTACCAAGCTACATAGCATTAGCATGTCTGCCCAAGAGGAAACATACTGCAATGATCTATCTTTTTCTTTAGAAATGACCTCAAAGGCAAGTTTCCAGACACTATAACAAATGAAGTGCTTTGGGCAAGGAGAAGCATTAGTAAATGATGCTATTGGCTAAAGGTAGCTTAGATACCCTGCCTCTTCAAGTCTATGTCAAACCCAGTTTTGACAGATCTCTCTGTAGTCCACATCAGGACTCATCCTGTGCTTCCCCTTAGCTGCACAGGAGTAGGATCAGGTGGACAGGGCAGATGTGGACAGCAGGATGAAAGAGTTATTTTATAAATGCTGACTTTCTTCTTCTATATATGTGTTTCTAGGTTAGCAAAATGGCAGCATTTCTGAAACTCATGAACTACTTCTTCATTCATTATTTCCTACTTAGACTCTTAGGCCTAGGTGCATGCCAAGGTCCTTAAAGCAGGCCGAGTGGGCCAGGAGCCAGCAGAGGGCGCATCAGGAACTCCAAGCCTCAGGAACTCCAAGCCAAGGAGGCTTCCTTCTACCTGCCTGCTGGAAGCAAACAACTCCGTTTCTGCCTGAGTTGCTTATTCACTGCCAGTGTTGTTACATGGTTTTAGCCAATAATCCACCCCTATGAGGCAGGAACATTCGGAGGTCAGAGACTTTGAAAACACACAGGGATCAAGTGTTTTGTGCTAAATGTGTTTACAGGAAAAGGAAAGCCTGGTGAGTCATCCTTTTATTTTCTAATGGAAACTACCAAGAATTTGTGTGTGCACTTTGCAACTCTATGCATTTAAATCAACCAAGCATTAAATGTTAATGTGGGTGAAATGAGAGCAGAGTACTGCTTACCAGGTAACTGTAATTGAGTGAATTCAAAGGTCTCCTGAGAAGGTGGGGAATTAGAAGGCATTTCTCCTCAGTTATTTTAATTTTTTATCCATGTGAGTAACAACAGGTACACTGCTCAGTATTCAGAAGGGAACAGAGGAAGAGAAAGATCACCCTTCTTAGTGATCCCGAATCACAGCAAACTCAGGCCCACGGCCATTAGATCACTTTGAGGGAAATATCCCGAGTACCTAGATTATGCGACATACATATTACTCAATATACTGCTTTGGAGAAAAATAGGTGCCATAGATTCATATTCTCCTTCCTGTTTGTGAGACAGAGACAAATAAACAAAAACACCTGGAACTCAGAGAGATTAAGTAGCTTACCCAAAGACACGTAGTGATGTGGCAGAGCCACTTGCTTTTTCTTAAGCCCTAACAACTTTAGCTACTGGTAGGATATGCTCTAGAAATAATACTGCATTTGGGAGCATACGTAGAGATCTAATATTCATTATGTATTATATCCATTGAGCATTTCCTAGCCAATATATAAAAAATGAAAAAGAAACTATGATCAAATATGGGAAAGGAGAATTCCCCTCCTTGAATTGTGAACGCTTCAAGAGTAAACTTGTTATTCTTATCTTTCATTCTCTTTATATTGGGAGTGGTGCAGAAATTATTGGAAAAGTATTACTTTCACAACTTTGCAGAAGGTCTCAATTTGATGTCACTAATAAAGTGGGTAAGCATCCTTCTTTGGATTCCTTTAAGTGATGTAAGTACTGAACAGAATGAAATCTATTGCTACATATTGAGAAATCTTCCCCTTGGTCGCTACTCTTTCTTTACTTAGTATTCCTTAACATAAGTTGAAATCCTGCTACTTTACTTTGATTCAATCCACCCTTTCTATGTTGCCGATAAGACAAGACTTGCCAAGTGACATCATTTTTCTGAGTCAGAAATGTACAGTAGTTAAGCACAAAGTTTCATTGTAGCCCTCCTGGGTTTGACTCTAAGCTCAACTACGTACAGTCAATTAAATATCTTTGAGCAAGTTGCTTAACTTCTCTGGACCTTAGTTTCCTTATCAGTCCAGTGAGGATAATAATAGTATATCCCATCTGGGGTTTCTATGTGGATGAGAAGAGTTAGTGACAACTGCATATGCGTAGATGAGTATTGTGTCCATAGTACTGCCAACATATTTTTTGTTATTTTCATAATTATTATCATCTAAAGATCCTCCCCAAATGGCTAGCCTATAATAGCTTTTTTGGTTTTTAACCTATTCTAAACCCAGTATCCAATATGTGCTTCAAGGGGCGCTCAAAATGAAGGTCTTACAGATATTCTAGAACATACTTACAAATAATTCCTTTTGGAGCAATTCTTTTACAGCAGGGCTTATAAATTGGCTAGGAAATGCTCAACAGACATAGTATGTAGTGAATATTACATATCTATTACTGGAAGCTGCACAAACTGCCAATCGCCTGATCAAGGGTATGGCATCAGGATTAAAAAAACAGAGAAAGAGACGAACAAAATGACAAGACAAGATCTTAATGCATAAATGGGGGCCCTGGTGATCACAGCTCTTATCTGGCTGAGACACCGTCTCCTAGAGCTTGCTACGATTTATTGAACATCCAGCTTCTAGAAAGGGGCAGTATAGAGAACAGTGAAGTGGAGAGCACTGACGCAAGCTGGATCCTAGCAACAAGGAATGAAACATTCTAGCAAGAACAGCTCATAGATTAATGGGAAATTTGTTGCTTCCCATGGATTAATTTTTGCATCTATAGGAGCTTTATGAATGAGTCACACTGCCCTTAGCTGCACTATTGTCTTGTCATCCAAGATGTCACAGTGTCACAGATCATGGAGACCTCTGCTATAACCAGAGGTGTAGGAAGTTGTTCCTTTTGCACACACCAAAATGGCTAGCTCTTCAGGCAAGCCATTATGGGCTAATAGGTAGATTCATATTTTTAATACAAAAAGCCAATTTATAAATTTGCTGCTTGCTCATGGTGACCTTCATCAATCTATGTGTTCTCTCAAACATAGCATTATTTTCTGGGCATAGTTATGCCTGAAAGGCAAGTGAATCTGCCACCTAACTGAGTAAGTTACTTAATCTCTGCGAAGTCTAAGGTTTTTGTTTCAGCCTCATAAAACAGTAATGAGAATATAAATTTAAAATTTTTATTTTTTCAAAAGCAGGATATTAAGTATTAAGTAGGTATATTGGATAATGTAGGTCCTGGAGATACTGAACTCAAAGTGATTACAACTAAGTCTTTGCTGTGATTAAAGCAAATATGTATGTATATATTAAGGGACAAAAAGACCTATAAGCATGTAAAAACAGAATAAAGTGCTAATGAGTGGTGTGGAGAAATGGATAACAAATTATAATATCCTTTCTAGTAGCATATGTTGGCATGTATGAAAATTCTTGATGTTATATATGCCATATATACACTGTGAATGTTTTGACTGATATTAAAAAGTGAGAAACTATTTATTTGCTTGTTTGTTTGTTTATTTTCTTATTTATTTGATACGGGGGATTGAACTCTGGCCCTTGAAGTGGTGGAACCACTGAGCCAAACCCCTGGCCCCGAAACTCTCTTTTTATTACCGTACATTGATATTTTCTAAGGAATCTTCTTTTTGGAGCTCTCACAGGATGATGTGCTAGGAACAAGGGACAGAGGACTTCTGGAGGACAGTTGCTCTAGAAGGTCCCTATGTAGAAAGCAGACTAATTATGACCTAAGGATAAAGGCATCTTTCCATATTTTCATAGCTTCAGAATCTCTTTATTAGAAAAGACGATGAGAGTAATTATCGTCAGCAATGTATTCTTTGCTGCGGAATTATTCATACTTAACATTGGAGCTAAAATTATGAGTATTTTCTATGTAGAAACTAATTCTCACCTGGGGACTCCCTAGCGGAAGCATCAGTGGTTCAAAATTTCCTATATTTTTACCCTTTAGGACTTTCTCCAAAGAAGTTTAGATGCCCTTGGGCTTTCTTAGTTCTTATAGCATAAGACCACAGTGCTGCTAAAAGACTGTGGTTACTGAAAGCAATTTCTGGGATATCTGAGGTATTTAACAGAAACTTCAGGAAACTCAGTGGCTTCTGCTCAGTACATGCTATCTTATTTGGGAAGACGTTTTTCTTCTGGCAGAGCCCCACATAATACAATTAAATTTATTCTTCAAGAACTGTCAGAGAGGTGCCAAAAGGACTCATAGGCTCAGTTTTGGCCATAAACTGTCTAGTTCTAGTTTTTCCAGGGTTCAAGTAGTCCATGATTACACAGTCGACCCCCAACTGACCCTTCCTCTCAGTATTCTTGTGGTGATATCACCCTTTCCTGGCCATGATTCTTTTCCAGCTGAAGAGCTCCAAATGTGGAAATCCAGTGTAGAAGTTGGACACAGAGAATGTATGTGAATGAAGATCTATTTTCTATATTTTCCTTGTCAAATGGCTTTGTCTGAATTTCAAATTATGTTAATTTGCTTATTCTGGCAGAATTTCTTGTTTCTTTTGTTGATTGATTCTTGATATTAGATCATAGTTTGTATAAGTATTCTTTTTAATTATTTTCAAAGATTTCTTTGTTTTTAAGGAATATTCTGGGCTTTCCCTCTAAATTTATGATCCTTGTCAACATTAACCAGAACTTGGATCTCTGATCAGGCCTCCCATGAAGTGCATTCTCCCTGGATTTACTCTTTTAATGTGCTTTATGAAAGAGCACACTGGGCCTTTAGATTTAACACTAACTCTAAACCTATGTCCATGTAATGCTTACTAGGAGTATAGTTCAACAGGTGAATTATGAAATTGTGTATTTTATAGAGATTAAATTTCTCTTTTGTAGAGGAAGCATGTTAAAACCCTTTTGAATTTCTTTAAGTTTCAGCAACATGAGAATGAGATATCCCTACCAGCAGGCTGCCTTCTCAAATTTAACGTTGTTTTTGTAATTGCTTTTTATGTGGGCTTTCAGAAACGCAAGTGAGATGAGAAAGACTAAACAGTCATCATTTGTTCTTTTCCAGGATCTGATTACACGATAGTTGCTTAGGTATTGTTCAATGTACTGGATGTACTCTTTTGTATAAACGCATTTCAAAATATCTGTAGATACCTAGATATATCTTGGGTTAGACATTTTTACTGGCCCCAGAAAATGCGTGTATGTACTCATTTTCTCACAAAAATGCACTGGCCAAACATGTTGTGATAAACATATGAGTAGTCAAATGAACATTTTACCAACTGCCTTGCACCCAAGGTAAAAAAAAAAAAAAAAAAAAAGAGTTAACTGGACCCTGAGGAGATGCAGCATGTATATTAGTGTATGTCTACTGTGATACTGGTTGCTTCTTTTTAGTGATTTTCCTAGTAACTTCATTGAATTTTTATAACCTACCTCTTCCATCTTCAGATCTGTCAATTCATTCCATTCAAAACTGTCATTTGGCATTAACTACTAAGTTCCTCCTGTGATGCTGCAGGAAGGATACAGTGTTTGACTTGGGACTCAACATTGCTATCTTGCTAGGCCATTCTAACGAGCGGTATTGAGAACTCCACAAATGAAAGACAGAGCTCCCAGGGGATTTCCTTTCTCCTTGTTTTCTAGAAAGGGTGCAATGAAGATAAGATAAACCAGAAATTCCTGTGAGAGGTACTGCTGGCTTTTCCCTTTGTGGGAAAGTGCTTCTGAAAGTCAGGCCTTAAAAGAGAGCCAGTGCCTACATCTGTTCCTGGTTATTCTCCCTGAATTTCAACCCTAGCAGCCACATGCCCTGTAGCTTGTTTGCACTCAGGAAAAAAAAAAAAAAAATGCTCCTTTCTTTAAAACGCTTAACCTGCAAACTATAGCTACAAAATTGCTGGTAGGTGGGTACTTTCAAAGTGCAAGCAAATAGCTTAGAAATAGCTTTTGGTAACCTAACCTTTTTTCTTAAATAGGTTACAAATGAAATATCCAAGAAGCCACTTTTAAATTATTTGAACCCTTTAAAATACCCAAGAAATTTACAGAAGTTCATTCTCCATTTCTCTCTTTTTCCCACCCAAATCTCCTCAAATTCTCTCATTATATTTATTTTTGTAACTGGAGAAATGAACAACGTTCATAATCCTTTAAAATGTCTGTGAGAGATAAAAAGAAAAATGTTAATCAAATGGAAGAATTTCTGGAGGGATATTAGTTTCAAGATGAATTATTTCAACATGTGAGGTTTTTTACTAGACTGCCAAAGAAAATCCACAGAGTATGTCACGAGAATAGAATCAGTAGCAAATAGGCTTAAGCAAAATAGGGTTAGCAAAATTTAAGATGGGTGTCCAGACAACATTTTCTAAGAAGTTGGATGGTTTGGGCTAGAACATGTACTTATGATTATAAATTTTAAAATAAATCTTGGGAAATGTGACTAGAAGATAATTTAATAATTATTATCTTTGCCACTAGGAATAACCCATACTATTTGACTATATTTTCTTCTACTATTTTAAATTACATGAGGAAAGAGAAGGAAGAATTTGTAGTACCGATTTTGTCACTAACAAGAAATGAGATTTGGGGAAAATTATTTTAAGCTTTTCGAGATTGTTTACTAAAGGTGACACTTGTAATGTCTAATTAGCTACCTTTTCACTTTCTAGCTCTGGTGTGTCCTTAGCTTTCTATGCAGACTTAGAATTAATAACAGATCACTGAATGTTTTGTGGTTACTACAAATCTGTGCTATTATCCAGGTATCCTTTTTGCACCTTACATAAAATTTGAGACACAGTGATTGTTATGGCTTGGATCTTGAAAGTTCCACAAAGTTCATGCGGTGAAAACTGGGTTGACTGCTGACTGCCTGTGGCACTATGGTAGAACCTTTAGGAGGCAGGGCCGAATAGAAGGAAGTTAGATCACTAGGGTTGTCTCTCCTTTTGCCTTCTGTCCATAAAGAGGTGAGTGGCTTTGCTCTACCACATATTCCCCATCACGATGGACCTTGCCCACATGCCCAAAAGCAACAGAGCTATCTAATCATGGACTGAAACCTCTGAAACCATGAGATAATTTTTTATACTTATAAGTTATTTCCTCAAATATTTTTTTTATGCTGATCAAAATTGGCCAACAGTCATAGTGCTATAAGTAAAACACAGAGAGTAATGTTTCTATGCTACAAACTCAAATGACTTCTCAAGTATATTAAGGTTTTATGGGGAAATTTGCTCTTTATTTATGTTGTAGAAAGTAAATATTTCCAGTGGTATATTGAGGCAAGTAATATTTTTGTGCTTGTACATTTTAAACATACAGCTTTGAAAATATAAAAGGTTTACACAGTGGTAAACCTTTGGATGAATAAAAAGGGGGTGTTTTAAACCTCTCTCTCTCTCTCTCTCTCTCTCTCGTATAGACCTTGGAGAGTCTGAGTAAAGCTTTATAAACTCTTGTACAGGACAACACACTAACAGGCATTTGCACACACATGCATTTATATACAATCTTAAGAGGTTCTAAAAAGGCAAAAAACTATCAGCGTTTTCTTTCTTTTTTTCTATTTTTTATTTTATTTATTTTTTTAAAATTGAATTTATTGGTATATTCTAGGTAGACAGTACAGTTACATTCATTACTGGGATCTTGTACTATACATGACAGGTCTTGGTTCTCATTTTTTCCCCTTGTCCCTTGTCAAAAAAAAATCTACAAACACTTTAATTCCATTTTTACATTTTATCACATTTTTTCTCTTTCCCTTATTCCCCTTCCCCTACCCTTCTCACTGTCCCTATAGCACTTTTCTTCCTATTTCACATTGCTATTTATCCCATTAGGATCTTGAGTACTATCAGCGTTTTCTTGAGGCCTACGCCATCTTTGTATCAATTTTTCAAGTAATCTTTTTATCTGCACTATGGCATTAGGAGAAATAGGGCAGATACTTAAAACTCAATTATCCAAATAAAGTAAGAACATAGTGACATCGATAAAGCCAAATTAATGACTAATTCTCTAATCATTTTTCTTTGATCTTGTAAGATTTATTTTAGATTCTTTTAACTTGGGCTAATTTAGAAATCTGTGTTTCTTGAAAACGTACCAGTTGTTGGCCAGCTGCATCGGTGGTAGGTTGCTGGGGCAAAGCCACCCTGAATTTAAAATATGCTGTAGATGGTCTACAGAGTGTATGCAAGATAGGTAAATAATTATGAGCTTTCAACAGGTTTGATGTGTGAAATAAGCATTTATTCCAAGGAGAAATCTGCTTACATTCAAAAAGCATGACTTTGACGGGTGTATCTCCCTTCCCCACCCCTTCCTTCACTCTCTGTTTCCTGTCTGCCACGATGGGAGCAGCTTTCCTACACTCAAGCCCCTCTACCAGGCCTTTCTGCCACAGAGCCAGCCACTTACATGCTGAAAATGTGAGCCAAAATGAGCCATTTTTCTAAGCCGGGGGTGTCAGGTGCTGTTTCTCAGCAAGGTGGAATGTTACCAAGAAAACAAGCTTTGAGGAATAAATGGTTTGGGGCTTAAATAAAAATCATATAACTATTATTTGAATCTCTTTACAGGGTAAAACTGTATTAATGTATTTCTTTATATTGTTATTGTTACATTTCTTAACAATATCATTCTAAGCTTTCATATATCAGAATTTCCATATGTTGCTCATATTCCTAAACTAATGTGTCTGCCCATTATAGTTTGAATATAATTTTTCCTTCAGGATATAGCAGGTATTGTAATACTGTTCTGTGGCTTAATATGTGGCTATGGAGAAGACAGTGATCAACTTGATTGTTCCCTTGGTTTCACTGGCTTTTTCTGCCTCGATAACTGAAAAAAATATTTCTCTGTCTTTGAATCTTAATAGCTTAACCAGGATGTGTGCAATTTTAATCTGTTTCTGTCTTTTTTTCCAGTAAAGAGTATCTGTTCTTTAATCTGTTTCTCGTTCCTTTCAAGGAATTTTTAATATTTCTGAATATATCTTCTCTTTCTCTTTTGGGGCTACAATTACAAGGGCACAAAATATCCATCAGCGATACCAACTTTGCCTTCAATCAGTGTCTCCCAAACTTGTTTTCTGATGTTAATATTATATCAAGTCCTTCTTGTGTCCCATTAAGATTTTCAGCATGCCTTCTTTCTCCCTATTTCTAATTTATCAAAAAGACATGTAATATTTCTAACAATATTGCTGGGCTTTCAATTCATCTGTGCCATCTGCCTTTATATCTTCTGCAATTTCAAGAGCGTTCATTCTTTTGGTTTTTACACTAAGTTTTTGCACACTGGGAAGCAAGATCAGGGAATTTCTTATGCTCTTAAACTTTTTTTCTTTCTCACAAGGATTTTGTGGCCTCTTTGTGTGCTGTGATGGTTTTCCTCTATCCATTTTCAACCTAGCTG